GAACTCGAAATTAAAGACTCCACAGAGTCTTCCACGTTTGTTTCATATTTTGGATGTTTTACTGACTATAGACGATAATTGCCAACGAATAACTAAACTGGAGGACAAATGGGATGACTGCAACTTCTCCATCGCATCAACTTCCCTTATTTACAGTGTATGTAGTAATATTCAAACTTCACCTGCATATGGTGTTTATGTCTCCCAACTGATTCGATACGCAAGAACATACTCTAAATGATAAATTTTTAAAACAAGGCAAGCTACTGACAAGTACGTTCCTGTTACATGGATTTTAACAACCCCATTTAATTTGAGTTTGTCGCAAATTCTTCCTCAATAAAATGGAACTCGCAAATTATCATATCTCATGATATGATAAGTCATCTACAAAATTACTTTCTACGGTCGTCATGATAACCCTGTAAGTTGGGTTGTATTTTGTCTGACATGTTTGATGCCATTTGTTACGTCATTGCTTTTATATTAAATTTGACTACGGAGTACTTCGTGTACCCTATCAATATATAGGGCTCACGGCTGGTTTGACCCGTCAACAGGGGATCCTTTCTCTTCCTAGGTTCTACCTCTAGTGTTTCCAGTGGTCCGAGTTTTTGCCCTGTTCACAATTAATTTTGTTTATTGGATTGTTGAGATTGATCAGTGTTCCTTATTTTCAAATGTTACATTTATATTCAAGCATCCTCACGTTGTTTAGATTTAAATTTGTTCAGATCAGGACCCTGGATAATTGGTTCAGTCTAAAAAAAAGGGATCAGAGTTTCACAAGGGTGTACATATGGTGAAACGTTAAAAAGACTTGCAAGATGACAATAAATATTATTAATAATCAAATATTTCTTAAGATATTTCGAATAGACTTTTTTAAACATAAAAAATATCTCCTCTAAAGCATCTCAATATTATGTTGCTTTAAATCATAACTCCTTTATGCTTAGATTTTGGCCCAGTACATGGAGTCAAAGTATTTATGAAAATAAAGAGGAATTTTTTGTTTTTAATCTGCTCTGTCAGAATGACTCGGGTGAGTGTTGTGGCCCGTGGACCTTTTGTTATACATCAAATATTGTTGCATACTAATAAAACTTGATATTGTAATGAATTGATGGTCTTAAAATAAGGGGTAAGACCTTGATTTCGTACACAGGAGTAAGTTCTGAGCTCGAACAACTTTTAAAACCAAGGTAGTTTACAGTTAATTAAGTTTATGTTACAGGGCTTTCAATAGTCTCCTTTTAAGTCAGCAATAATATGAACACTTATTAATGTTTAATTTTTAAAAAGAGCACTTTTTTGTTTCTTTTTGATAGTTATTTTATATGCTTATGATCTTTATTTATTCAATATTTCGATTTCATTGTGATCAGCAATGTGTCTACAGATTAAATAATGACATCATCAAAAATACATATAGAATATTTATATTTATACAGCTTACTTCAGTGAATTGTGACTTTGTTGAAAGGAAAACAAGATTATTCTTTTTTTAACATCTATTTTAGGTTAATTGATCGTCCTCAATGAAACACTATATCAATTTAAGCGGAATATAATGAATAATGAGGAAGTATAACGTGAGATGGATAGGTGTGAGTAAGCTATTTATCTGAAAAAAAAAATAAAACTTCTCTTTACTTGCCTTGTATCTAAATCCTCCGTCTTCAAGTTAACTTTGTATGTTGTCATTGTATACGAGGGTCATTCAATAAACACATAGACAATATTGCTCTTAATCATATTGTCATATGTAAAAAAAAATTATCATATTTTGTTTTGTCTATGTGTGCAGTATCTTCCATTTAATTAAACTGAACTCAAGATACTTATTTCTCTTGTATAAATTGTGTACCATTCAAAGGTTTGAACTTGGAGAGCTATCTTTTTTCTTTTCACATGCTCGATTTCCTTTGGTTAATTTAAAGATTTATAATGCCGTGTTTTACATTCAGCAAAAATATACTTCTTTTCGAAGAAAGAAGGAACAATATAATGAACAGATTTTAAAAATATTTTTTACGAAAATTTCACTAAATGAAGTTATTAATCTCTACTCTTCTGCTTCTTTCCTTTCGTTTTCTATTCTTTTTTATATATAGATACATTTCTTAGAAAGAAACAAAGTTTTTTTTATAACCATTTATCACAACTTGTGACATATATACAGAAGGCCCACTCAAAAGATAATGGCCCTTATTTCCGACTTCCTCTTGGTTTTAGCGATTTCTGTCATTATTGTGAATTTTGGTAGTTACAAACAAGATAAGATTTTTACGAACATCAACTTTCATTAACAATTTATATGTACTTAGATGTATTTGTGTTCGACTGTCATATTCCTACTTTTCATTAAAATCAGTATCAATTATTAAATTCATATGCAATCAGTGCATGCTATTAAAAAAATACATATCTACAATTTATTTATAATAATCTGAATATAAGGCAAATATTTCTAAGATTGATGTAAGTAGGATATTCCGCCAATTGCGATTTATACGAAACTCTCTTTACTCCATCCCTTTGAATGTTTTGAATAGTCTATTTGTATAAGTCAAGGAAAGTCCATATTTGGTTTCTTCGATATCACCAGAATACAGGCTCGGATCTGTGATAATGGATATTGCAAAGCAAAGACTCTTTCAACCGCCACGGAGGAAAACAAACAATTCGCTTGTTCCTAAAACTTCAATATATCAACAAAGGAATTGACGCAGTTAATATAAGTAATATTCTTAATCACAGAAAAGTCCAGTCTTGTATTCCGCCATATTTCAAGTTGAAGATCACATCTTGTAGTTCTTACAAATATACATCGACAATTGCTTCCAAACTTTTTTATTATAAAAAAAAATCTACAGTGCCTAGATATTGAGCATCTGAAACTTAATCTGATGGGCTAAATATGAAAAAGACCTTGACACTTTGTCATGATGGATTAAATGTATCGATTGAAATCGCGCATTAAGCGACTGAAGGGCAATATGAAAACCATCTATCCTTCTGTCTTCGACAATGCAGAAGTGAAACAAGAATTAGATAGATTACACGATCAGTATGTACTGGTCCCCGCTGACAAAGCAGGTAACAACATTGTCTTTGTTTGTAAGGCTCATCATCTGAATTGTATTTTAGAGGATCTAGGATTTATTTCTTCATGTGGTCATCCAACTTACACACCTATAGCTCTCTTTCTAAGGCGGACATTCTGTAATTGTCAGTTTTTAATATTTTTAATATTCCCAACAATAAAAATGGATTTGAACTACCATACCTGTAATGGACTCCAAAACCCCATAAAAATCCTTACAAACAAAGATAAAGCGGGTACCAGTAAATGGTCTACCAAGCCTCTTTCTTTACTCCTCACTAAAATATTTACAGCAGTGAAGGAGAAACTTCAGGAGTACTGTACAACAGTATATTCGGGAAGTGGTGTAAATCAGATGTGGATATTTAAAAACTCCAAGGAACTTTTAGAAAATTTGAAATCACAAAATTTTAACAAAATCAATAGCATCAAAACGTTTGACTTTTCAACACTTTATACAACCATCCCCCACGAAAAATTGTAGTCCAGGCCTTTTGACATTATTGACAGCTGCTTTTTCAACAAGGGGAACTCGTAAATATACTTACCTTATAATTGGTCATTTACAGAATTATTTTGTTAAAAAGCATTCTTATTGTACACACAAGTACTCTGAAGTTGATATTAAAAAGATGCTTGAGTTTCTAATTGACAATATCTATGTTGCTGCTTTTGGAAATCAGGTCTTTCAACAATATGTTGGAATTTCCATGCGTACAAACTGCACCCCCTTGTTAGCAGACCTATTTCTGTATTCATATGAAGCAGAATATATTCAAAATCTTTTACATGAGAAGAAGAAAACACTTGCTGTGGCCTTCATCTCGACATTTAGATACATCGACGACATATTATCAATTAACAATTGTTTCTTCCATTCATATGTCGTCTCGATATATACCATTGACCTTGAACCTATCATTAAGTCAAATGCTGACTGCCGTTTTTCGTACTAATTGTTAGGCCATTATTTACACACTGAATTGTCTACGATTTTTCCGTTTTTCCCGATCATGACAAGGAGTACATGGCCGGTGTGACCGGTCGGCAGAGGATGCTCACTCCTCTATGGCAAATGATTCCACCTCTGATGTTTTTGGAGGTCTGCGTTTGTTCTGCTCCCGATTTGTATTGTCTAATTGGACTTTGAACTTTAATACTGTTCGTTATCTCCATATTTCAAGCAATTTTTTTCATTTTTTTTAAATCATTTGATAAAATTTTAATATAAACGGCAGAAAGAGGTTGAAAACGGTTTAGCACGTCTATTCATTGATTTAGCATTTATTTCAAGAATGTTCCCAAAAGTCTATACCACACTTATCGACTTTTTTTCTATTTGAACAAATAAAAAATGTGTGTTTTGTAAAAAAAAAATAGATAAATAAAAATTTAAAAACCTTATCAAACTATTATCAAACTCCTATCAATCTTATTCCCATACTCTATTTTCATTGCTTGATTCAAACATGCTTTTGTAAACTGAATTTTAAGCAAAATGACGATTTATATTAAATACCTCATTACATGAGGAAATTTTCTGTCGTTACTTTAACTATGGAGATTCCCCAGAGAGGACTGAATGCATTCATTCATCTCCACTCATCTACTCTATTTATACAATAAACAAAGTGTAATAAATTGTTTCAATGAAAATGCTTCGTTTTAAAGAGAAAAGTTTTTTAGTTATTTCTATTCTTTTTTTGTGATGGAAAACCCTGTAGGTGTAAAGATTTTTTAAAGTTGCTCTTTATAAAGAAACAAAGCATCATCTCATTATATAAAATTCCCATTGCAACAACACAAGAATTAGAACAGGAAGAAAAAACTAGCAATTTTTTAAGGGTATATATACAGATGTATCCTTCCAGTCCAAGTAGAATTTAGAGAACCAGGTAAAGAAACAGCGATGACTGAAATATTAGCAATAATTGATATCAATCAGACGACGCCCAAACCGGGACAAGAATGGCCATCGATGGTCCCCGCAACTCTTTTACTCGTTTTTGGAATAACGGGAAACGTATTGGCCTTGATTATTCTCTGCAGTTCTACAAAAACTCACAAATGGCGGCCATTCTATCGCTTTGTTTGTGGACTTGCCATCACAGATGGGGGTGGAGTGCTGCTGTCCTACCCGATCATTATGGTTCGATACGGCTCCAAATTCAAATTTACCTATCCGGAACGTTTGTGTGACTACATGGCATTTATTTTTATGTTTACTATCCTGGCCTCGGCTCTAATTGTTTGTGCAATGTCTTTCGACCGTTTTATTGCAATTCTTTATCCTCACTGTTATAACACCCCTACAAAAAATCGGAAAGCTGTTTTGACTATTGTAGGAATTTGGATTTTCTCTGCCTTTATGTCAAGCCTCCATTTGATGGTCGGTCAGAAAAGTCAGAATTTTTTTCCGGGTTCTTGGTGTTTTATGGATTTTTCAGATGATGCAACATCGAGTAGGATCCTGGCAGTTCTGTACTCACTGACAGGCATTCTGATTCTTGCCACCACTGCTGTACTAAACACAATAGTGATTATCAGAGTCTGTTACGATAGTCACCAAAAGAAGAAGAATATAACAAAGAAAAAGAATATCCATATTATTATCTTCCTCTTCCTAATCGTGATCTTGTTTTCTTCGTGTATTTCATCACTTTTAGTAAGTATAGAAATATCTGTAGCACTTTGGGAAGAATTTGACAAATACTTTTGATTATTTATGACTAATGAATTGCATTTCTGCTTTAAGAATAAAAATATTAAGTAAATTGCTAATAATTTTTGTTGCTTTTTAACAGGTAAACATATTCGGTCACGCAGTCGGAACCATTTCGGGAAATGGACAGTTTGAACTTAATTCGGTTCGTCTTTCCATTTTGAATTCAATCATTGATCCTTGGATTTACATTTTATTTCGAAAAGATACGTTTGATTTTTTCAAGCGAAGGGCTGTTACACTGGGATTCATTTCTGTATCAACTTCAACCTCTGGCACTCCATTCACCAAGAAAGAAAACCTTACCTCTGATCTGACTGGTTCGCATGCAGAGTCATCACAGGAAATGGTCAATCCGGCTTGACTGCAACAACGCATTTAAGAGCATATATGTCGTATTTGGCACCTTAAAATCTTAAATGGCACCTGATCCCACCTCTGATGTTTTAGAGTTCCGTGTTTGCTCTGCTCCACAATTTGTATTGATTGATGGACTTTTGAGCTTGAATACTGTTCGTTATCTCCCTACATTTCATTGGACTTAGAAATGGTGTCTGATGGAAGTGGAAAACCCAGCATAGACCAAAATAGAACAAAATAGTGTAAAATCTATAAAGTAAACATAATATACTACTGATATTTGTGATGAACTAAAGGGGTATATAAAACTACGACATCATTTAAAACTTTAAATTTATTATATACAACTAGACCTTTATATATATATATATATATATATATATATATATATATATATATATATATATATATATATATATACATATATATATCTGTATGATATTTTACGTTTTAAATTTTCTTCACATCTATATGCTATGTGTATTCCATTATATGTTATAAGTACACTTCATTTACCCATAAGTAATGTGCATCTAAATATTTATTATTTCCTAAAGTAAATGTAAGCTGCAAACTGCTAATGATCATTCCTCTCTTATCAGTTATATTTAATAATATTTGACGATTATATTTGTTGGTCATGAATTTCATCTTTAACCCTTTGAACCTGAGTTCTTAATCTGGATACTTATTTTATAACAAGGAAAAATACCTTTGGTAGTTAGCCGTCAATTAAAAACATTCTGATTCCTTCTCAATCCTCGCATAATCCATATATAAATTTCGATAATAATTCAGCTGAAATTAAAAACTTAGCACTGCATAAATTTTTAAGCTAATATGTTCACAACCTCGATATATAGAGTGTTAAATAATATAGATGCAGCAATGTTTATAAATTGTTAATATATAAAGCACAATAGAGGGTCTTTATTTGCAAAATGAAATATGCATACAAGTTACTCTAGATCTCTCGAAGTTCAAGGGACCGTAAGAAAAGTTCGAGAGATCGGGGGGTTTGAAATCCGGAATATTCAGTTCCGATCATCATTGTTCTACTATTATACATATATGTTGATAATGTCATTACAAGTTTTAATTCTTATTTTACAGGTTATTCACTTGATTTCAACATCAATGATCGTATTTTGAATAAATGTATATAGACATAACTGTTTTTTCTTACTTAATTAAAATAATCTATTGCTTATCATACAGTGAGTGGGTGATCACTTCACGATAGCTAACTGGCGTTTGACCAGAACTTTGTTCATACAATAAACAATGTATCATAGATTTATTAGGAAGTACAGACTGACTTTGTCGAGAATAAGACAAGGTAAATCATTCGGGAAATTAAAGAATGCTAAAACAATGGTTATTAGTTTAAAATAAGTATGAACAATAAATGGTATATATATATATATATATATATATATATATATATATATATATATATATATATATATATATATATATATATATATATATATATATATATATATATATATATATATATATATATATATATATATATATATATATATATATATAAACCATTTATAGATGTGGGCTGGGCATCATCTCTTGTGTCATCGTGTTCATTTTTATCACATCATTTAGGGGGGGGGGGGGGGGGGAGATATATACGAAGTACATTGTAGTTGATCATTTATTGAATTCCTGTCAAAATCTGGAATCTCCTTTTCAAAAACGTCATATTTGGTTATCAAAATTTATAGATATGTCTGTATAACAATTTTTACGGCCACTGTTATAAAAAAAAAACAATCTCAGAATCTTTAAACTAACATTGCTTTTTTTTCTCTCAAAGAAATTATACCTTCACTAAAGTTTATATTCTTAGAAAAGTTTATTTTAAAGTGAGGTTTCTGATTAAAAAAGTGGTCATAATTTGAATGACAAGGCAAGGAAAGAAGGGATACAATTAATAGGGTTGAAATCTATTAAATTCTTCCTTACTTTATTGTGCAGCCAGGTAAGCTAGAAGTATTATGCAAAAAAAAAAAAAAAAATTCCACAAATGACAAGAACAAAATATTTGATGGTTAAAATGAGGTCTAACAATGGGTAAAAAATATTAGAATGTATTTAGCATCTCTTTTCTATAGCATTTTCAATATGAAAAGGTCACTTATTTATCGTATTTCTATTTTCCATTTCAATCTTTTATTTACATTAAATCAGTGTGACCTTAATAAACAAGACAGAATACAAGCATTTCAATTTGTTTAAATACCCTCTTGGGAAATGTTTGCCTTTATTTATTATTATTATCAAAACCGACGTCAAACCTTTTAGCATCAGTTTCTCCCTATTGTTCTTTTTATGACATTAAGAAAATATAGTGTAAGAATTCTCTTTCATAAACAATTTAGACATCAAACTGTCATTTGCATAAGAAAGAAAGTTTCGGTGTGTCACAATTAACGTCCAAACATGGTTCCATATATTTTACCATACAATTTTTCGCTATGTAAATAACTAATTTAAATGTCATAACTGTGTTCCATAACATTTCATTCCTTCTGTAGAATTTACTTGGCGGGTTTAAATCCCGTGCGATTTTGTAGTCAGTTTGGGTGTAGCAATTGAGTAGAGCAGACGCACTTGACTTGCTCGCGTATTGACAATAGTATTCTTCATAAAGTTTTGACCAGATTTCACATCTCTTCTGAGGTAAGTTTGTTTTATTAATTTAAAGGTTTTATCTTATACAGTTTCCTGAAATGGCCAAGGACCCTAGTTCTTAATTTTGATGTAAATTATGTGATTGAGTAATTTGTGCATTGCTATCATTTCAAGTATTATTCTAATAGTATACAAGTATATTAAAGTATGTCGTAGCTACAATGTATGGTGTAAAGTACGTGTGTATAGTACGCAAATATTTCGTATATTTTACGGAGTATGCAGTAGAATGCTATAGTATATGCAGTAAAATGCAGTATGCAGTAGAATGCTATAGTATATGCAGTAAAATACAGTATGCAGTAAAATGCTATAGTATATGCAGTAAAATGTAGTATGCAGTAAAATGTAAAGTATACAGTAAATGTTATGATATGCACGAGTATGAATCCAGTTAATATATTTTAGATACAAATGTTATAATGTATGTAATTTACAATAATTTTGTAGATCCCATATGGTCCAGGAAGCCATTCAGCCCAAACAACGAACCATCTTGAAATTTTTAAATTTTGTACAAAGCCAATAAATGTAATATAGTCAAAGAACAGTCCTTGTATTCCTTTTATGAGGCGACCATTCGGCCTGCCTGCGACACGGTGCATCACAAAAATTCTTACCACAACTAATCTTATATAGGCACAAAAAAGCAGCAAATATTTGAAGAAAAAAATCTTTAATATGTAAACGACTACAGCTTTTTTTCTACATGCGCTGTTTGTTTTTGTGTGTGTGTGTGTGTTTCTGTTATATTCTTGGCTCTATGTTTAAAAAAGAACTATTTGTTTACATGCAACTGCAATGGTATTGACAATGTTTATTGCACTTTTTTTTTTATTGTATCTGTAGATAGTAGGCACTGTGATTTTTCATGATTTGCAAAACATTGTCTTGTAGATGCAGATTGACGCTACTGTATATAGTTAAATTTGTTGCATGTTTATTATTTTATTACATTGTATATGAAAAAAAGAGCCAATAAAAAATAAAAATGAAAAAAAAACGACTACAGCTCTTCATTCTCAGAAATATATACTACTGGTTACTCGGTATTAGACTGTAAAAAGTAGTGGTCTGAAAATGGTTAAATTTGTAATCATAGATTTCGGTATTAAACTGTAACAAGAGGCCCAAGGGCCACATCGCTCACCTGAGCACTGTGGCTAGGAAAAAAGGAAAAATCAGTTTAGTATTGAAAAGTTTAAATGCATAAGTGGTCCCAACCAACCTCTAAAAAGAGTGTGTGTGTGTGTGTGTGGGGGGGGGGGGGGGGGTCATGATTTGAACAAACTTGAATCTACACTATCTGAGGATGCTTCCGTATAAATATGACAAACTGTGGCTTTCTGCTCTTGAGATTTTTTAAAGATTTTTCCTATATATTCCTATGTAAAACTTTGATCGTTCATTATGGCCCCACCCTACCCCCGGGGGTCATAATTTGAACAAACTTGAATCTACACCACCTGAGGATGCTTCCAAATAAATATGACCAATCATAGCTTTGCTGTTCTTGAGAAGAAGATTTTTGAAGATTTTTCCTATATATTCCTATGTAAAACTTTGATCGTCCATTGTGGCCCCACCCTACCCCTGGGGGTCATGATTTGAACAAAATTGAATCTACACCACCTGAGGATGCTTCCAAATAAATATGACCAATCATAGCTTTGCTGTTCTTGAGAAGAAGATTTTTGAAGATTTTTCCTATATATTCCTATGTAAAACTTTGATCGTCCAATGTGGCCCCACCCTACCCCCGGGGGTCATGATTTGTACAAACTTGAATCTACACCACCTGAGGATGCTTCCAAATAAATAGGACCAATCATAGCTCTGCTGTTCTTGAGAAGAAGATTTTTGAAGATTTTTCCTATATATTCCTATGTAAAACTTTGATCGTCCATTGTGGCCCCACCCTATCCCCGGGGGGCATGATTTGAACAAACTTGAATCTACACTACCTGACAATAATTCCACGTGAGTTTCATCTTTCCTGGCCCACTGGTTCTTGAGAAGAAGATTTTTCAATAATGCCATTAATTTTTTGCTATTTCGTAATTATCTCCCCTTGGAGGAGGGTGTGGCCCTTCATTTGAACAAACTTGAGACCCCTTTACCCAAGGATACTTTGTGCCAAGTTTGATTGAAATCGGCCCAGTAGTTCTGGAGAAGAAGATGAAAATGTGAAAAGTTTACGACAACAACGACGCTGACGACGCCGACGACGACGACAGACAACGGACAAATTTTGATCAGAAAAGCTCACTTGATCCTTTGGCTCAGGTGAGC